AAGATGCAGAGAAGGAAGGAAAAGGGGGGCGGGGGCAGACCTTCGACCGGCCAATCAAGACGTTTAATATGCGGCTTGATCTGACTCCGTTCATAAGAGGGGTCCACGGGTTGTGGCTTTCTGTAGCTTCGGCTTCCGCTTACCGTGATGGTTCTTTTTTGGAAATATACTTTCTCAGTATCATTATGCGAGACATGATAGGATCTTCTATAGAGGTTTCCTAATTTGATTAGGAAGATAACAACTTTGAAAGTGACAAATGAAGTTTATGTTTATTTTGCTTGATTCGGTACTTTCACATGTACAGATCCGCCCCTGACCGCTTTTAGTATACCGCCTGCCTATTCCTCCTATGCACCTCGGAGAATGCACTAATTATCGAGGGCTACTATCCCCTTTCTCTATGCTTTGTACTTTCTTAGCTCTATCCTTATTTCCTCGACTCTCAAATTCCGATTTAAACTCGTTCCGAGTGTATAAGGGAGCTAAAACGGTTAATTTAGATCCCATTGAAGTTCTGGCAGAATATAAGTGGGTCTCGGGTATTCCGAAGCAAAGACTCCTGAAACACCGTAACTATCCCATGTCCGTGATTTCTAACCTCCACAAAGGCGTTGGAAAGCGCATCGCCGAGTCTCTGGGCATTAGCTTGATCGGCCGGTTCCGTTACGCCAACGATCAAACATTTACGCAATATTAAATCAATCTAAGCGATACGGCTCGCATAATGCAGCTTAATCTGGGGTCCCGACGATTTGTGCCGAGGTGAAAATGTCGGCTGGTTCGTGGCAAAGGGTTGTGGACCAGTCCAGCCCGTCGATTACCCCAGAAATTCAACGGCCAAGCAATCCAAATTCAACAAAGAATCAGGATCACAATATATTAAAATTAACCTGACCGCTTCTTTATCCGAGCTTCCCGCGTTCAAGATCCAAGAAAAAAAGAGCACTAACACCCAGAAGGGCAGGCAGTAAGCCCTCTGCATGAAACTTATATTGCCTTTTGACAGAGTGGATCCCGTAGACAAAGAAAAAAGATACCTCGGGAGATTTTCCCGGGTGACTGCTGTATATCCATCCGCATTGCCACTCAGCATGGCGCGATTAGCAATTTGGGTAGGGTTGCATCCCGCAATTTGGACGAGTCCAAAGATAATAAGACATTTGTTGTTAATCTGGGATCGACGCTGTCAATGATATGAATAAAACATTTGCATCCTATTTTTGCTTTAGAGGTTAAACATTTAGGATTTACCTTGAGATCCAATAAAAACCGGGAAAAGATAATGGCTGAAAAGTGCGATATCTAAATAATAAATAGCCTCAAGGCATTAACCGGTGAGATACCCGTAGTTAACCGGGCCTAGAAAGTTACAAGGTCACATCGCTGCAACTCTCCAATCCTGATAGGCATTTCTTTTGAGACATTGCACATGTTAACCAATGATTGCCAAGTTCTTACTTGCCTGTTGTTCCCTCCCCCACTTGGATCCTGAATCCTCCCACTAAAATGATAAAACAAGGATGGGCAAATCATACTACAGGATGGTATAATTCTTATACCCTTGTCTAGATCTTATATCGGATACCTCCGAACACAAAAGAAAGAGAGAAAACACCCCCCCCCCCCCGGGTAAATTCAATAGGAAAGGATTCCACAATAACCTGGTTAAATTAAATAGGAAAGGGTCCCACGATAACCTGGTCAATAGAGATAGGAAAGGATCTCACGATAACCTGGTCAAATAATATGAAGTCAAGAATCAAAAGCAAAAGAACGTATCAAGTGTAGATCGTGCCACTCAAACCCCTTAAATCCCCTCACCTACGGTTCTCGTCGGGGAAATTGGGACAGGGGGTAGTCGATGCGACATTATCAACCCCTCTTGAACCTGCACCGACAATCGCTACCTTTCTAGAAGCCAGGAAATTTTTCAGATTGGTGGATGCTTCGATTACCCCAGGTCCGCCATGATCCGCTATAATCCACCGTGGGAACGTACCTGCGCTTCGATATCGTCAGTAATCAGTCTCTTGTCGCAATTGGTTAAAACCCACACTCAGCTTAGTGACCCGCTATTATAAGGCTTGGATCTCCCTGATAGACACCAAATGATCTTCAGGATTTTGATTTTGGGCTTTCGTTAAGGGTCCAATTGTTGATCATTGACCTTTTCCTTCTTATTCTCATCCTTCCCTGTCGATCAGGTATAGACGATCTCTCTAAACAGTACCTACACTACCTACACTTTTCTACCTATACCCACAGTAACCATTCATCATCCAATGCAATGACGAGAACCGGCCCTACAAATAATTCTATCGCGTGGGAAGCCAAGAGCATTGTTCCAGACGATGGGGGCAGAATTGACCCGGTCGCATGTCAAGACTCGAGGCCAAAGGGGCGCATTCGAAGATCTATGACTGCTTGTAATACCTGTCGCAAGCTCAAGACTCGCTGCGATGTTGATCCCCGTGGTCATGCTTGTCGTCGTTGTTTGTCACTTAGGTTTGTTTTGGCCCTTTTCTTCATCTCATGTTTGGCATATACCCCGATTTTTTGCTTTTTGGAGTCCCCGGGTTCTCAATATGCTGACTATTGTCATAAAAGGCTTGAATGCGAGCTTCCCGAGACAACAGAGCGATTCCAGGACAATGCATCAATCTGGTCTGATGCCACCGCTATACCATCAATCGAGGAACGGCTTGTCTCCCTCGAACGAGGCATGGGGGAGATGATACATCTGATGCGACAGATGGTGAACCGCTCCCCTAGCATGTCCTGCAGCCCAAACCTGCAGGCTAGAAGCAACAGCATAGATGGAACATCTTCAAGCGATAGCATGTCTTCATCTTTCTATCCGATCAAACCGGCGCAACTCATTCGAGATTTGCAAGCCGAATGCTTTGGCGAGAGAGATCACTTCTCCGATGCTGAGATCCTGGGAGACATCGTCACCCAAGGCATCGTAGATTCCAAGCTTTCCATGAAATTAATTGAACTGTGTGTCTGATTGTGTGTCTATCACTGGACCTCCGTGCTAATGATCTCACCAGTTTCGTCGAATATTTTGGCCATTGGGTCTCAATAAATCATTCGTCCAGCATTCAACGGTCGAATACACTCCTTTTCAACACAGCATGTCTTCTGGCTTCACGCTATCTGCCTGGCCTACCACAACACACCGTCCGCGATATCTCACTCCATGTACAACATGCCGTGGCCAAGGTGTTGTGGAAGCCCCCACCGATGACAAGCGATATGCTGCAGGCCTTGACATTGCTTTGTCTATACTCCACTTCTATTCACAAAGAAGGACTGATGGATGACTGGTTGCTGAGCGGGATCTCGATCAACCATGCCCTCATCACATTTAACTTCCTCAATACCTTGCCTGGAGACAGTCTAAATCCGGACGAGCTATTCGCTCAGTTGCGTTTGTGGAATACACTATGTGTAACCCAGCTACAGTATGTTCTGTCCAATAAAACCATTTGATCTCCGATCTAACACCAGATAGCTCTGCTCTCGCAAACGGCCGCACTGTCAATATTCAACAACAATACATCGACCAATGCCCCCGTATCCTAGAACACGCAGGCGCCACAGCAGAAGATGGAAGAATCGTCGCAGAAATCCAATTATATCGCATCGCCCTACGACTCCAACACAGCCAACACCGTCTCCAATTCGCAGAACCTGAATACGAAGAACTGGAGCGCTGGAAAATGGAATGGGCACATCTCCTAAGTACATCAACCCCTCCTATATGTATATGCCCAAATCCAATCTAACAACCACACCCCCCCAATAGCAACCAGTGAAGAATCAACCCTCAACCTAAACCTCTGGTTCTGCCAACTCCTCCTCCACCGCACGGCTGCGCGCCTCCAACCAGATAGCGAGCGCCTGGTCCCAGAAATATGCGGCAACGCCCGCCTAATAATAACCCAATTCCTCCAAACCCGCTTTACCTCCGCACCCGCTCTAATCGACCACGTCTACTTTATCGTCGGCTACGCCGCACTCACTCTATGCGATTACACCCTCTCCGACCCATTAATCAGCCAAGTCCGCGGCTTCCTACTGCACCTCGCGCCAGGCGGCGACAACCTCTCGTACCGAATCGCGTGTATCGTCGGCGAAGTGCAGCGGCGGTACTCGGAGGCTTCTGCTGTTGTAGCCAACGCCTCGCATTCGTCGTCGCCAGTTGCAGAGGTCAAGGGTGTGCAGATGTTCGGACCATCGCACCATCGTCCTGGCATGGATCTTTCACAGCTTATGTCTGGTGCAGAGGGATTGGATTCCCTTGTTGAGGGGTATAATTGTCTTGAGCAGATGATGCCTGGGTATACGGCTTCGCAGCCTGGATTCCAGGCGCCGGATTTGTTTAATCATTCTCCTGGGACGGGTGTTACGGGTGGGGCTATGCCTGTTGGCCTGGTGCCGAGGGCTTTGCATGATTGGTGAGGGACTTGGGATATAGATTATTGGATTTGGTGATGAAGGAACATGCTCAGTTGATAATGAGGTTGGATTCGTTGGGACTTGAGCATTATGTTGTGTGTGTGTGTGTGTTTTTTTTTGGCGCAGGATCGCAGTAGCAAAAAGCACAAATGGACGTAGTTATGACTTGTTCAAGACCAGGTTTCTTTGTTTCGTGTTTTTATTTATCAAGTAGTAAATACCTATCGCTGGGTTCAAATTGCATAACTATTCAGTCTCACATAGTTTAGATGGTTTACCCTTTCGCGATTCTCACAGTACAGCCTTCACTCAGTATTCAGCAGTTTTTCTTCTTTACAATCCGTTGAGCCCTTGGGTGAAAGGCGAAGAGAGTAAAAGAGAGTTGTATTGTGCTTAGGTACAGACTGATCTACCAGGCACCACATCAAGGGCCCCCGAATGGGCAAACGGACAGTCTGGTTTCGATCAACCTCGACCACCAATACCTCGAATCTGAAGTTTATGACGCACACGGGGTAGAGCCCTCAAGCAAATTAGTGGGCAACGAAATCCTCGGTTCTTCGCCATAGGAACAGGAACCTCCCCATCCTCAGCAACAGTAACACTGGCGCAGGAGATAACCTCGTCAACTTATCACCAGCCTTGAATCCAGTATCAGGAATCGAAAGCGAGTACTCCTTACCTCCTACACCGAGATTGGTTAGGACCGTGATTGCCTGCGAGCCGTCATCACCCTTCTGCTTGGCGATGGTGTTGGTGTTGGAGATCAGACTGCCCTGACGATTGTTTGCCAGACAGCCCGTATGATTGTGGATGTGGATGTTTGACCCACCAAGTAGTTTGCTACAACATCGGGCATGAGATACATGGCGCATTTATGCAAAGCCACGGCGAGGGCCTTGAGATCGTCTGGAGTTCCGTGGTTTGAGTCAAGAGCCTCGCTTATTTTTGGTTAGTAAAGTGTAGGGTTTAAAAACTATCTCATTTCTGCTTTGCGATACTCACATATCCTGCTGCCAGTATCCATGATATGCCTCTCCGTACTTGGTGTCCTCGGTCAATTGACCGGTCATGAGAGTGATCCAAATGGCTGTGAATCCCATTCCTTGGATGTAGTCCAACTGAGATAGAAAGGATTAGATCGTTACTGACCTGGTCTATGATTCCTTGCCATGTTCCACCAGAGTATTTCTATTCAACACGGTTAGCTCTGTCTCAATATCGCAGAGTCGCTGCATACATAGAAACTTACTCTAACATCGGTATCACAGGCAGCAGTATTCAAACCGTCCGTTCGGACAAAGCGATCAGTGAGCAAGACGTAGATCGACTGCGAGCCCTCCTCAGCTGGAGTCGCAGTAGGCCGAAAATCGTGCGACAACCATCTTGTAGATATTTCACCACCGATAACTCAGCAAAGGAGAGGAAATTCGTTCAGCAACGGGATATTCAATATAAAAACCTGCTGTAAGGGACATGGCATAAACACCCCAGCATAAATCTATGCATACAACGGGTACTCTGCAGCCGAACAACGATATCGGAGACTGATAACCGTTGAAATCGGACTCCGAGATGAAGTATGGGCTTAAGCCAATAAACGTCAAAAACCTAGACGAAGATCACAGATGCAACTATGTAAATGAAAAGATAACCCCTCTAACTTTCCCCCCAGCCGCAGTAGATTCCAAGACGAGGCAAGGAAACGCCGAAAGAGGGTTGAATAGTCAAGAACTTCATAATTAATCAAGGAGATACTCTTCCGAATCAATATATGATCCTATGTAATTCGTCAGGTCTCGGTTCCTACCAAACCCCTGACAAAAAGCAAAGTTACCCTCACGAGTATTCCATGCATGAATCTTGAAAAGGTTAGCTCGATTTAGAGAGCACGACGTGTGCTAAATTGAATAATCCCTGTAGGAGCCCCTGACGGTGACGTTGGTCGAATCGGCGTGTGCGGGGGGGTTGGACGCTAAATTTGCAAGGATGCCGGCATGAAGAGGGGGGGGGGCATCGGGCTATTGGCTCGTTTAAATACGAGATGTGTCGATCTTTTGGAGGTGAATTTCGGCCTTTAGTCGGATGCGAGTAGAAGTCGTAGAATGCAGCTAGAATGATTTAGGTTGTGTACCCCGTATGTAGGTACCTAGATATGATGACGTGTGTGCTATGAAACACAAGTAATATAGGCAATCTATACTTGGCTTCGTAATTCGGCCCGACATGGAGGACCACAGTCTGTGCATGTTTGAACAGGCCATTTGTGAATCAGCTGAGGTTATATGAAGTCACCAGCAACAATAGGAGCTCGGGCTTTAGATGGCAAGATGAAAACAAGACAATCAGATGTCGTGAAAGAAGGGAGAAAGTGTAGAAGAATAAGTTCATTATAGACGTTAATCAATCGAGATACCTGACTCTGCTATTGGGATAAACTATAAAGAGAGCAGACACCTAAAACTTTCCACAATCTACCACTTCAAAGTCCAGTTCTCACTGAAAGCACCCTCCTTGGTCAACTTCTGTAAACCATCAACAGACAGCACCTGCGAAGTAGCATTGTAATGCACCCCAGAAGCCGGCACATGTCTACCATTAAACCTAACAGAGTCAGGCTTCTTAGACACACCGAGAACAGTAACAGTAGCAAGAGGATTCGACTCCTCCCAGTGACCCTTTGCCCTGGCACTCAAACTGGAATCCTTGACCCTGAAAATGACATCAAGGGTTTCATCCGGAGCATTGCTCTCTCCATCATCGAGATACAACTGGCCCAAAGCAGCTCCATTGCCACCGAGGGCGACAAGTAAAGACCAGGGGGTGCCACGAGCCTCCTTTGTAGTCAAAGCCGGTTCCTGCATCGGTAAAACGCTGCCACCGCGCACGAAAACAGGGATATGACCGAGCGGGGCAGGGATGGTGGTGTTGACACCAGGCTGTGCGTTCACGGCTGTCTGAGTGTACCAGTCGTACCATACCTCGCCGTGCTTGAGACCCGGGAAGACACCCTTGACGGAGGTGGCTTGGGGGGCGAGTACGGGCACGACCATGATTGAAGGGCCGAGCAGGAACTGGGTATCGACTGCGGCGAGGGAGGGGTCTGTGGGGAATTCCCAGGCCAGGGCGCGCATGACGGTGGAGCCGGTCGTGTGGGCCTCGTGGAAGAGGGTGTAGAAGTAGGGGAGGATGGCGTAGCGGATCTTCATGGCGGATTTGGTGGCGGCTGTGACGGATTCCCAGACGTAGGGCTCTTGCGAGATTGCGGAGAGGGTGTTGTGGTTGCGGTAGAAGGGGAAGAAGGCCGATAGTTGCATCCAGCGGTTGCAAAGTTCTTCATCGGTGTTGCCGTTGAAGCCGCAGGTGTCGACGCCGAACATAGGAATTCCGAAGAGGGAGAATGAGAGGGCTTGGGGAATGGAGAAAAACATGAATGCCCACCTAGAGGCGTTGTCGCCACCCCAGTGGCCGGCCCATTTACCGGAGCCTGCGAATGTTGAGCGACCAATGATGAAAGGACGCTTCTTTTTGTCGACCTTCAGCAGGCCATGGTAAGTGGCGTTGAGGATCTGGTGACCGAAGAGGTTGTGCACATCGTATTCTTGGACGCCATCGGAGTGAGTGGCATTTGGGGACACAGCGTGCGAGCTGAGGTCATGGCCACCCTGGTCATGGTTGATCACATAGGGTGGGTAGTTGACGTTGCGTACCCCCGCAGTGGGTGTAGTCCGCAGATAAGAGGTAGACGATGAGGCGGAGCCACCAGTTGCAGCGGCAGCAGCCTGACTGGATGACGCCGCAGAGGCGGAAGCAGCCTCGGTCTTGTTGCTGATCTCAAACCCTTCCGGATAGTCATAAAGAACGTTGCCGGGCTCTCCAGGCAGGGAGAAGGGAGGGTGGGCTGGGTTCATGCTAAGATTTCCAGATCCACAGCTGCCAACACAGAAGGAAGAAACCTCGTTCATATCAATCCAGATGCCATCCATGGCGATTTTCTTGTGCCAGGTAACAATTTCGTTCGTCCAGAAATCGCCAGCCTTAGGATTGTGCCAGTCGGGGAAGACAGTGTAGCCGGGCCAGACAGCGCCAATGTACTCGCTTCCATCGGGATTCTTCAGGAAGACGTCATCCTTGTGTCCACGGCTGTAGGTATCATAGCTGAGTAGCAATCAGCATTGTTTCTGCACGACAGGCCCAGGGGAACTTACGCATCAGAGGCGTTCTTGGGGTTTGGAATGTAGATAGCCGCATCTATAATGGGAACATAATGACGGCCACTGCTGTGCAGCTTCTCTAGGAACTCCTCACCCTCACTGTAGGGATAACGATGTTGATCATTGTCGAAGTCGCGGTAACCATGCATATAATCAATGTCGTTCCTAGTCACGTTAGACTTGCTTTGACCATAGAAAGGCGAGTCAATTTACCAGATAGTTTCGAGCGGGATTTCAAACTTCTCAAAGTTGGCGACAACTTCTCCAAGCTCAGTCCAGTTATTGTAGCCCCAGCGGCACTGGTGGAACCCCAAAGTAAAGTACTGCTGCAACGCTGGCAAGCCAATGGTGCTCAGCTGGTAGTTCTTGGTCACCTCCGCTTGGCTAGGACCCGAGTAGAAAGTGAGATCAATGCTACCTCCCAGGGTGCGCCACTTCAAGCCCTCGGGATTCAGGACAATTTCCTGACCATGGGCATTTCTAGAGAAAACACCATGCGAGAAGGAAACATAGTCTTTGCACTGTTCGGCCTTGTCACTTGCAATGAGAGTGTGATGACCTTTGTGGTTAACCTCATAATAGCGAGTGTCCAGATAGAAAGGCTGGGAGCCGTAGAGATTGCTGGTAAAAGGAGTTAGCATAAAAAATAAAATAAAAAATAAAAAAAAAAAAAAAAGAAGTGTGGGGAATGAAACTCACTCATTGATAGGGTCACCAATATCCGATGCATAGAGAGTCAAAGTGAGATTGTTCAAAAGGCGCAGCTGCTGGATGTGCTCTCCAATGCCATACAGGTTATAATCCTTGGGCAAGGAAGTAACAAACTCAACAAACTGGTTCTCAAACACCAAGACCGAACCAGTAGTATCGAAGATCGCATCACGGGTAGCTTTGCGGGTCACCTTGAAATGGAAAGAGGGGTGGTTCGACCAGGTGATCTCCAAATCATTGTGCTTCTTTGAAGCATGATGATCGGAAGTGGGTCGGGGAACGACATGCTCATCCAACACGAACCAAGAATAATTAGAAGAATCGAGATAAGTCGGGACGATTTGAATGTTGAGGCGATCATTAGCGAGATACTCGATGGAAAAGTCCAACGAGTCTACATCGGTGCCGTAGACATTGCATGGCTTTCCGGCTAGGGTTAGAGTAGCCGTCAATCCACGAGCAGACTCCTTGACGTTCGATGCCTTGTACCCAGGACAAACCGACTGTGCGTCGACGCCCTCGGGATCATCAATATTGGGGATCAACTGTGCGCCAACATCGGCGCTAGAGGGAATGGTAAATTGAGAGTATTTTCCCGACGAAGTTGAAGATGCGTCAGCGTGAGAAGCCAAGCCCTTAGTAGCAGATGTTGAGAAAGCCCCATAGGCTGCTGGCAGGAGCCAAGCACCGGCAAAAACTTTCTTCACAATACCCATGGCTACTTCTCTCTTCCGGTTGTAGATCAGGAGGATCTTTGTCTCATATAATTACGTCCTAGCTCGTTCTTATAGGTCGTTCAGCATAACCGGTCCGTAGCACCTACACATGTGTACACAGGAAAGTATGAAGTACAGCAATGGTATGCCGACCCCGATAGAATTCCCGCTGATTCTCCGATGCCTGTACCGAGTACCTCAGAATAGTTTTGTGGGGTTGGTCAAGCTTCAAGCTAAAGAAAAAAAAGGGGGGGCTTGGAATGCGGAGAGAAGGTCCCATTCCTCGGAGCATGGCGAATTTGGCATCGGGTACTTACTCGGCTCGTATAAGTGTACCGAAGAGGGGTATCCGTTTTAGACCAAAGATATCCCTAAGTGAGTCTACATATCTCTATAATATCAGGGTCCCACACTATCAAGCTTAATTGGCAGGTACTTCCTAGTACCGCCCAACGGAAGATATTTACTCCGGATCCTAGTCATATAACCGCCGATCATTACATGTTTGCATCACGCCATTCTAGCCTGATGATTGGCCAGTAGTCCGACAAATGCCCGAGCAAATATTGTCCTACCAAAAGTACATGGCCCTGGAATTAATATACACATGTTGGAATGTCATCATTGTATTCTGATAAATCTCTATATACCAAGCTACGGTGAGCTCTTTCTCTCTAGTGGAGAAGCTTATGACTACGGGATGCCCGGACATGGGATTTGGGACTCTCGGGGCATTAAACTGTCTCACTTCTAAGTACCAAAACCATAACCATATAAGCTATAAGCATATAAGTTATGCAACACTATATAACCTAGATCAAACTAGAGGTATACTAAACTATACCGGAACTATGGACTTCAACCTAGGGCATGGTATATGTATCCATAGCAGGACACAGTCCCCCCTTAAACGCACCCTCGGGAAGCCGAGAAGGGTAGAAGGTCCATGGTCAACGCCATAAATAAATGAATGAAGTCGTGAAGAGGTCGATTGGATCGGGTATCAAGACGCGAAACGGAGCTGATGGCTCAAGGCAGCCTAGCGCTGCCCACTCTATGCTAAAACGGTTTAAATGGGGCGAGAAAATCCCGCATTTTTGAGATTAGTGCACCTTTCAATCCGCGCTATGAATATGTCAGGCATCAGAGCCGACTTGGCCCCGAGAGGTACCTCGCCAAGGGGGGCTTCGCTTACGGGCCGAGATTTGGGATCCATACTAATCTTAACGGATGATCATATGGACGTTTGGAAGGGAAGTCACACTCAATGAGTCAAACTTTACGGTGATCTTCAGGGCTGATCTTGTCTCTTGTACCTTTTATGGTCTGGAAGTTGAGGGGTGTATGTAGCGAGAAGTCGGGCCGAGAGTCAGACCCCTGATCTAGAAGGATTGTAAGAGCGATCCGGACTTCCATGCAAGTAATATCAAAGTAATGAAGCATAACGCCAACGCAGGGGCCTATGCGGGGTTTCTTTTTCCTTGTGCCACCCCCCGCGCTTCCCCAGGTTTGTGATTTTTATTATAATGAGCCACACCCTGGGAAGTTCCCGGACCAAATCACACCTCTTTTTTTAAATCTTGCCCTAACATGATATTCAGCCTCTACTGGGTCTAACCAAGACTTAGCAATGTCCTCCAAACAATCCAAACCAAAGCAAGCATGCGACAACTGTCGCCGTCGCAAAATAAAATGTTCTCGGGAACTACCATGCGATAAATGTCAACGGCTACTTCTCTCCTGTTCATACAGCGACGTTCTCCGTCGCAAGGGGCCCAAATTCCGCACTCTATATCCCCTAGCCCCGATCCATCCTCTCTCATCCCGACTCGACCCTTCTGAGAATCTATATTCCGAGGATGGTAGCACCGGCGAGATTCCGGATTACCAATTCAACTCGCCCATCTCGCCCGGGTTCATAATTACAGACTCGCAGTTCTCAGGCCAGGACTTCTCGGATACTTTTTCCCACCTGCCGCCTCCAGAACTTGTCTCGTCCCCGGGCTCCACCGACTCAAATGTGGAATCCGCCATTGGCTATGGCTATGGATATGCGAGACCGGCTGCCCGCCGTCTCTCACCTCAGATTCTGCTCGTCCATGTCAATATCTACCTCAAGTACTTATTCCCGATTATGCCGGTGGTCCGAGGGGAGCAGCTCCGGCTGGATTGCAACCAGCCCGGGCAGTTGTCTGCGCAGCGGTATGCCTTTTTGGCATCGTTGTGTGCGGCTACGCATATCCAGTTGAAACTGGATGGACCGACGCCAGCCTCAGATCCTGCGCGTTTGCAGAGTATGAGTATTGGGGATGGACAATCATTGATGTCTGGGGAAGAGCTTCTTGCGGAGGCCGTGCGGGCGCGGCGCGATTGTGATGTTTTGGATGAACTTACTACCGAGTCTCTTCTGACTTCGTTCTTTTTGTTTGCCTCGTATGGGAATCTTGATCGTCAGGACCAGGCTTGGTTCTTTTTGTGCCAGGCTACTTCGTTTGCGTTTACACTTGGTTTGCATCGCGAGTCGACGTATGCAGAGTATGAAGTTGAAGAAGCCGAGGAAAGACGACGTGTGTTCTGGCTTTTGTTCATTACAGAAAGGTGAGTGGTCTGATTCTGAAGCAATTGGTGGTTTGGACTGGTGCTAATTTGTGACTCGACAGAGGTTATGCTCTCCAGCAAGCGAAGCCGGTTATGCTGCGCAGCTCTATCCACAAGCCTCAGGTCCTTTGCTCGGAAGATCCTATACTGGCTTATGGATTCATCAACCTGATCAACATCTTTGAGAATCTCACCCCGAACCTTTATGATTGGATCTCGGCCGGTGGCGGAGATGGCATCTTGGAGAGGCCGCCAACCTCCGCCATCCAATCCAACCTGTGCAAGGCTATTTCCCTAGAGGGAGTCCTTGAGATACAGCAGGTTGATATCTTGATCACGCAACAGTGGCTGCAAACGATGATGTGGAAACTGTCTATGAGCCATGCCACACAGCCTTCGCGCGATGACGCAGTTTTGCCATTCCACCTACCAGTGATCGTGGGTAAATCTGTGATGAGCGTGATTGGTGCCGCATCGCAGGGTGCTGTTGATGCACACGGAATTGGAATGGTAAGTCAATCCGAGATGAAGTTGTTCGTATTCGTATACTGATTTGAATGTTATAGGAGCAAAAACTCTTTGATCTAGGATCCTCTATCGCCGATGTGACGAGGTCGCTTGGACCAAAGGCCGTCCATAGGCTGGCCGAGTCGACTATTGATCCAAACGAGTTGCTGTGGGGTATACTTCACACGCTTTCTCAAATACGTGGCTCGCCCTCGTACCTCTTCCCTACATTGCTGGATCGTTGCAGAAACGTGCTTGGACTCGACTGCAACATCACCACGGGGAATTTCCTTCCTATACTCGGCGCCGCTGTGCCGGACCAGCTGGCTTCATGGTCTGGGCAGCATGTCTGGGATTACGCTGGTAGCTCTGAGGATATTGACATCCATGATGTCGATGGCCAGGCCAAGTCAGTTCCTCATGCACATGTTCCGCAGGAAATGGGTTTCGATAATTGTCTGTTGCGATGATGGGCATCTTTGCCAACTGTTTTGAATTTGTGATACGGATTTCTTTTGTTGTATGATACCACGTGGAGTTTTCTAGATGGCTCTTTATGATATGAAGACAGAACTGAATTATAGAACATGATCAATGCCTCAACGCATCAAATCCATGACCATTGTGTAGTAGATGTACAGCTAGTTGAGGAGGAAGCTCATAGCTTGTGAACTGTCAAATTGTCTTGGCATGTTTGTCTCGACATCTCCAATTTGGTGATCGGCTTCATGCGACTTTCTCTTCCCAATTGCTCGGTATATTCTCTATTTGGTATGCTCTCTACTGCCTTGAATACCCCTTGAGACACGCAATTAATAATTTCTCAGATAATCGTCGAGTCTCCGCATCCACCAAAGCTCACTAGAGCACCAAAACCCCGGAGACAATTCTCCAAAACCTCACATCTCGCCCACAACCAACACCATTACCTACACAATGGCTTCGCTCCGATCCCGTGCCCTCCCTCTCTCAGTCCGAGCTCTCCGCTCAAACCTCTGCTCAACAAGACCCTCATCAAACTACTTCCTAACCACGCCCGCATCCACCTCATCAAACCTAACATTCCCAAACCGCATGCACTCAACATCTTCAGTCTCCGCCGATGAACTCTCCCACTTTGCAACCCTCGCCAGCTCCTGGTGGGACCCAATGGGCCCCTCCAGAATCCTGCATCTAATGAACCCCCTCCGCCACGAATTCATCGCCTCCTGCCTAGCAGAAGGAACCTCAAGTCCAACCGCATCCACCCCCTCCACCCCCTCCACCGCAACCCTCAACTACCTCGACGTAGGCTGCGGCGGCGGCATCTTCGCCGAGTCTCTCGCACGCACAATCCCCCTCGACCCAACATCCCCAGCCCCAACCCCAACCCTCGCCGCCTCAATGACCGCAATCGACCCTTCAACAGATCTAATCCAAATGGCGCGCGAGCACGCGCGCATGGATCCAACTGTCGACACGCACCTACGCACAGGCCATTTCAAGTACCTCAACACCACGCTGGAGGATGTACTTGCCGGCAATGCTCCGATTTCGACTTCCGCTCCAAACCCACCAAATTCCAGCTCTCCCTCAACTCAAGTCACTCCCCCACAATACGACGTCGTAACCCTCTTCGAGGTCCTTGAACACATCGACCCGAAAACCTCAACACCGCTAAGCTTTTTGACAAACTGCCTTCGTGCACTCAAGCCCGGTGGTTGGCTAATTGGATCTACTATTTCTCGGACATTGCCGTCGTTCATTTTGAACCAGGTTATTGCTGAAGCGCCGTGGCCAATTGGTGTTGTGCCGCGCGGGACACATGAGTGGAGTAAGTTTGTTAACCCGGATGAGGTTAAGGGGTGGTTGCAGGAGGCGTTGATGAGGGCTGCTGATACGGGTGTTTCGAGGGGTGGGAGTGCGGTTGCGGAGGGGATGAGGTGGAAGTGTGTGGGTGCTATTTATATTCCTGGTATTGGGTGGAAAATGGTACCTGGGAGTGAGGATTGGGGGAATTATTTCTGGGCTGTTAGGAAGGAGGCTTAGACTAGATTTGAGGTGTGTATTTATACTTGCATTGTTTTGAGCTATTTATATATTATTTGATTCTTAACTTCTACTGAGCTTGTGCTCATTGCATATCTCGATGGTTCATAAATTCATACATGTATTCATTGACTCGTTTTCAGTGTATTCGATACACATCGCTAAATGCATATAACCACCCAACCGCATCCCTATCAGGGACGCAAAAGAATATAATCCCAAACCCAACTCACTCCCAATTCCAAGCAAAAGTTAAAAGGCAAAAATTTCGCTCCCGGAACTACTTCTTCCCCTTCCCCTTCCTCTTCTTCTTTGAAGCAGCCGGCGGATCAGGCACAGAAACAGTCCCCTGCTCAACCTCCTCACCCTGGCCCTGCAACCTCTGCGTGCCACTAATAAAGAAGGTCAAATCGCGATTCTGCTCTACCAGATCCGCATTCGCAACTTTCAGCTCATCAACCTCCTTAGAAAGACCCTCCAACCGCAACAGCATATTCCGATTCATAGCCTTCTCCTCCTGAAATCCCTTCTCAAACGAGCGCGCCAAGGCCTCGAATTTATCTGCTCTTTTCTCCGCGCGCGCGCGGTCGTGTTCAAGCGACGGCAGCGTCTCAATCGTCACGGCATCGTACTTGGCTTGTAATTCTTCTAGACGCGACGAGGCGCTGGAAGCGTTAACTTCCGCCACGGCGGCGGCGGCACTAGCCTGCGAGGCTTTGTCGACGGCACGCTCGACGACTTCTTCGAAGTACGCGCGCTGACTTTCAAGCTGGCTGGTGAGAAGATGTGTGTATTCAATACTCATGTTTTCTAGTTTCTCGCGGGGAACGGCATCACCCCAGTCTGGTGGGTCGAGGGCGCTGTAGTCTGCTGCGGGTAGCTCGAGGAGCTTGCCATCTGTTTTATTTTGGATGATGCGGTGGACATATGCGTCGCCTACGTAGTCCCATACGCGTTGAGAGGTGAGATCCATAGAGAAGGCATGGGCTGTCTCTTTCCAGTGGGCGAAGGCGTGGGCGTTGTCATAGCGGCCACAGCCAATCGTACCACAGATTAGACACGCCCAGAGATTTTCTTCTGAGTGGCAGATGCTGCATTCTTGGGGTTCTTCATCTGGTTTCAGGGATGCATTAATTTTGCGGTAGTCGTCTTGCGTGTATCGGCATACGGGACAGCCGCTGCCTTTCCATTTTTGGAGACAGGTGCAGTGAAAGACGTGTTGGCAGTTTATTGTTAGAAGCCCCGTGGTTTCGTCCATTCGCTCTAGACAGACGGGACATGTTGGTAGTTCGATTAGTGCAGGGGTAGGTGGCGCGAGAGGTTTGCCGGTGAGAGTCGCTTGTCCGGTAGAGGATACCGGGGGCCGAGAAGGGGTTGAGAGGCTAGAGGAGGTAGGGCCATGCTCAGCAGGTGGTGTTTCGGCATCCACGACTTGGATTTCAACCGTCTTCACAAACACCACATGGCAGGTCTCAGGCTCGATGCTATTAAACACATGCCCATTCCATTCCTTCTGCCATTCCTTCGCTTTGCGCCCACTCCGGAACTTCATCAAAACCATATACCGATTTGCGCGCGCAGTCCTAATCATCCGGAAATGGCTAACATCATCCATAGTCTTCTGTCCTATGAACCCCAAAAAGTCCGGCGGCGATAGATAAGACGGCACAGCAAGGATACAAAGTGTCGTACAATCCTCATCAGGGCCCTGCGAAGAGGAAGAAGTCGTCTCAGGGAAAGGGTATTCTGCAAGGCCCGCCGTCCCGGGTTGTTTAGCACCCGTCTCACCGGTTAGACTCTGCCTCAACGTTGCCTGCTGCTCACCGGGGTGGCGGGCCGCAGCGGAGGAGCCCTTCAGGTAGGCGGGGTACTCGTCATCGTTTCCGAGGTAGGGCGTCTCCTGCGAGTCGCGGTACAGGTGCACAATTCCCCAAACGCTGTCGGCAAGCTCGTAATCGAGTGGGATATATTTGCCTTTTGTGCGAAGGCCGCCTAGGATATCGGTGCCGATGCCTGCGGCGACAAGGTTCTCTGATTCTGTGGATGCGGAGCCGGAACCGCGCTTCGAGGTGCGTTTGGGCGGGTGTTTTGGGGTGACCATGTCAATGCATTCAATGGAGACGGCGCCGAAGCGCTTGTCGTCTTCGAGTGGGGTGGTTGAGGGAGTGGTTCGAGGTGGGGTGGGAGTGGTGTGGGTGGAGAGGGTGGATATAACTTTCTGGCGATGCGCCAAAGTCTCGTCTGGGGGTGGGGTCTTATTATCTCCTGCGGGCGATAGGCGGTTGGAGGTTGAAGGCTGGCTCCGTTGTTGAAATGGTTGGAGAGCTTCCCATGCGGATTGTAGCGCAAGAGAGGATCCCTGCGAGCTCGGCGCGTCAGATAAGCTATGGGAGAGGAGTTGCAAGCTAAGGTGATAGAAGTAAGCGGGCATCCCGGATGACGGCTCGCATCCCCTGGATCTTTTGCGACTTGTTGGAACTGTCGAAAGAGGAAGTCGTGTTATCACGATAAGGATGTGTGATTACTTAATGCAAGAATAGCGGGCCGTTTATGCATAGCTGCTTGTGATGTCTTTTTAATTGTCTTTCAATTGTATTTTTATATGTCTTTTTTTTTAAGATATATTTGCTCGATTTTTATCTATAACGCTCAAGACTAAAAAAAAGAAAAGAAAGGGTTTACCATGAAGACAAATTTTCTATGAAACCGGGAATTTTATTGTCGCCGCTTCTGCGCCTTGCGCCACAAATGGTTCCGGGCACGCCAGAGTGGCAAAGAGGCAAAACCCGACTGAAATTTCGAAGCGCGTTCTGGAAGGTGAGGTGGCGAGAACTGCGGCCGATGAACCATTAACAGGGGACTTGCACACGTGTGATGCTGGATGGATAAACAATGTTTCCCATGTCTGCGTCGATGATATTATTGGCCATACCGTGCCAATTTCCGTGAATAAATACTATACATATATTCACCTAAAATTACAATGAAGTGACATGCTAGGGAAATACTAGCAATTGCTAGAGTGAATTGTAGAGAACTATCTATCACATATCAATGGTGATAACGTGGGCAAAGTAAAAGAGAGAAGCCGTCCTCAGGAAACACATTGCAAAAAGAGAAGCCTCAGCTTCGAAAACCGACCAAACGCCATGCAGGTCATATAGAACCCATCGAAGTTGAGAAAAAAAAAAACCATTGAATCAATTACTGGCCGCCACGCAGACGCAACACCAGGTGAAGGGTGCTCTCCTTCTGGATGTTGTAATCCGAAAGAGTACGTCCATCCTCCAGCTGCTTACCAGCGAAGATAAGACGCTGCTGGTCAGGAGGGATACCCTCTTTATCCTGGATCTTGCTCTTGACGTTGTCAATGGTGTCTGAGCTCTCAACCTCGAGCGTGATGGTCTTTCCGGTCAAAGTCTTGACAAAAATTTGCATACCACCACGGAGACGGAGGACAAGGTGGAGTGTGGATTCCTTCTGGATGTTGTAATCGGAGAGTGTGCGGCCATCTTCAAGTTGCTTGCCTGCGAAGATCAGGCGCTGCTGGTCGGGGGGAATGCCCTCCTTATCTTGAATCTTGGACTTCACATTATCGATGGTGTCGGATGACTCGACTTCAAGTGTAATAGTCTTGCCAGTGAGTGTCTTGACGAAAATTTGCATACCACCACGTAGACGGAGAACCAAGTGCAGAGTGGATTCCTTCTGGATGTTGTAGTCGGAGAGAGTACGGCCGTCCTCCAGCTGCTTGCCGGCGAAAATAAGGCGCTGCTGGTCAGGGGGAATACCCTCCTTGTCCTGGATCTTGGACTTGACGTTATCGATGGTGTCAGATGACTCGACCTCAAGAGTGATGGTCTTTCCGGTCAGGGTCTTGACGACTGCGGCAAATGTTAGTCAAGAGAGCAAGTGACTAGGATGTGGGAAGAAACAACCACTTACAAATCTGCATACCGCCACGGAGGCGAAGGACCAGGTGGAGAGTGGACTCCTTCTGGATGTTATAATCGGAAAGCGTGCGACCGTCCTCGAGCTGCTTTCCAGCAAAGATCAAACGCTGCTGGTCAGGAGGGATGCCTTCCTTATCCTGAATCTTGGATTTGACATTGTCGATGGTATCGCTGGACTCCACCTCAAGGGTGATGGTCTTGCCAGTGACTAGAGACAAGGATGTTAGCAAGGATGTCCATAGGTTGAGTTACAAGAGAGGGCCGGTGGGATCCAGGCAGTTTCGAGTCTTTTGAGGCTAGATAAGGGTGAACGTACGAGTCTTGACAAAGATCTGCATGATGGGCTTTGTTATTTTTGAGATGTTGGTATGAAGGGAAAGATGCTCTCAAGTGAAGCGACCTGGATGGAGAAGTTGTAGAAAGGGAGAAAGTAGAAGAGGGGAAACAGGGCCCTTATGTAGGAAACCCAAGGATGAGGGGGGCGAGGCGTCTTAGTCAGGCGCAGGTGACGCCGTGAAAATGCCAGAAGGTGCCGGATGAGTCAAACGGGTGCCTGGGAACAGCCCATTTGACGCCACCTGGAAAACTCCGACAGGCAAATCCGATTGGATATTTAATATAGACTATAAATTAGATTCCATCTTCCACTATGGGTCACTTATATCTCTATGCCTCACTCCCGAGGTCCTTTATCCAAGATCCCCGAGTGATGACGTTGAGTTGCTTATCGGGGGCGTTTAAAAGAGGGGGTGGACCTTTTGATGGGGACGCTAGTGAGAAAGTACAGGGTACGGGGCTTTGCGCGGTAACTGCTGCGGTCTCCCGGGTACTCAGTACCCGCTTCCAAACTTAGTATCAAAAAGCGGGTTCACCGTGTTTTCTTTGTCTTATAGTTCAAAATCAAGTCAATAAAGAATTCAATATTTGAAAAAAAAAAAAAAAACTATCATATAGGCCCATTGGCAATGTATAAACAACTCTTGCAAAAATCCCTCCGACGCCGTCCCCGGTAGATATGCGTCACCAAGAATGTGGTTCGGGGATAAG